TGAGTGAGCAATATTCAGGATTGGATATTTTACTTTTATTTTTTTCTTTTACTCAGATCCTAAATATAATTATCAAACTCTTGCCAAAAAAAAATAAAAATCTTGCTTTGGAAAAAACATGGAGAATTTAAGATATGCTTTTGTTCCAGACCAAAAGCCATTATTCAGTAACAAATGATGTTAGAACATCTCATAATCTGCACACATGTCCAGATTTCATGCAGATACATCATTTAGAAACTTACATTTTAAAAGTTCTTTGATTTAGAATCACTAGACTAATTCTTTTAGTAACTTAGTAACAAGAAAGTCTTGCCTCAAAGGTTTTTATGCTAACAGATAATTCAGCAATTGAATGCATGGATGTAAGTCTGGAGAAAGTTCTAGTAATTACTATACCTGTGTAATTTTGGACAAATTCCTTTAATCCTTAACCTCAGTTTCTCCCATATGTAAACTGATTATAATGATATATTATTTCTTTACCTGTTCATACCCTGGATATGAGCAAACACATCTATAAAGTGGAATATTGGAATATACTAGCTAAGGGACCAATAATTTACGCTTGTTTGGATCTCAGCATTTCAAGTTGCCCTTCTGGGCCAGGCCTTCTTCAAGAACTCTCTGTGGCGTGTGAGGGATTTATTTGAGAAAGGAGAGAGGAAGGTGGGGCCAGCTGTCTTGAGGTCACAGGGCAGTTCACAGTCTGTGCTAGGAGAGAGTCACAGAAGAAGCGTTGGGTTGAAAGAGTTTCAGACAGCAGCCCAATTGCAAGAAACACCCTTCCAGACCGACGGGGGGTCCTGAAGCCCAGGTTCTCCATTAGAGGAGTCCCCCATCTCCCTGGAAGGGGCCGATCTTCATTTCACTGTCGTGCTCAGTCACTGGCTGGGAGTGGACTGAGGAAAGTGCGGCCTGCAGGGTGGTGGATGCAGAGGGGCAGCGAGAGGAAACCTGAGCGCTGCATTTTCACCGCCGCCACATCCTCGAACAGCGTCTGATAAAAATCTCACTGTTTTCAACTTTGCTCGTCCTTTGTTCTTACTGAACCTGCTCTCAACTACCTTTATGCCTCCCTAGTCCATCAACAGGTTGTATTGTGCCAGCCAACTTATGTCTTCTATTGCATCGCCAACCCTGGACACATTGGTCGGCTATGTCAACTGTGTCTCATTGAATTAGGTTTCTCTTCACCATCTCCTGGGAACATCTGCTGATTCCAAGCTCTGGGTAACTCTAGGAATTTCCTTTCTTTTTCTAACTTCTTGCTATGCTCAAGGTTTCTGGAGAGTATCATGTAACTATTTTGATTTGGGATCACAAAAAAGTAATCCAAATTCAATAAGATTACTGATTTGGGAGTTAAGTATTGGTGGAATTCTAATCCTGGCTCCATAATTTACTACTTGTGTTAATTTGGGTAAGTACACAACCATTTAAGGCTCAATTTTCTTATCTAACCAATAAAAATAGCGGCAGTGTTCTTCTTACAATAACGTGAATAAGGCATGTAGTAGTTGCTTAATGAATGACAGGTACATCGTTAATAATTTTTGCTAGGACTTAGACTTTTCTGCACATTTCTACATTTTTTGACTCCTTATTACCTTCTCACTGGAGTAAAAAACCTAGTTCCACTCTTTCCAGCTCACAAAACCTCAGGACTGCCTCTCCTATATTATAGTGGCTCAGTATTTATTGAGAACCTACTAACGCTGTGTTTTGCACTGGGTCTTTAGTGGTGAGTCAGACAGACCAAGTCTGCTTGTGCTTTTCACTTTCACACCTGCTTGAGTCTGCAGAGACCATTCCTGCCATTCCATGCAAATGCTCCCCGTTTACCTTTGTTTATGGAATCCACTCATCCTTCCAGGGCCAGCAGAGCGCCCAGTATTTAGATCCTTCCAGACAGAATAAACTCTCCCTTTTCTGAAGCCCAGTCAAATACTTTTTTCTTTGCAATTCATCTTGTAGCGTGTTGTGTCCTCTCATCTCACTCACGAGGTTTTGCGGTCCTGGAGGACAGAGGCTGTGGCACACCTATTTATATTCTGCAGGATACGGAGCGTTCTGTCTTGCTCAATAAGCACATGTTCAAGGAATAAATTAGTTGCAATAATCTCCCTCTCTTCTAAAGTGATTACTTATCACCGAGGTATACCAATAAAGTAATAAACTGTATATCCGGCCGCGTAGTCTTCAAGAATACAAAGTACCTGCTACACATGCAGCTCATTTCTCTTTCTCTCATCCAGAGCACCTCTGGGCCCTGCGCAGGGAGCTGGGGTGCTGAGTCATAGGGCACAGTCCTTTCTCTGGAGGTGTTTACTCTCTTTGAGGCTGACGTGAATGAAAGCAATTACAATGTAAAAGAAAATAAATTTTAGCTAGGAACTTATATGAAAAAGATGCTCCAAATATAAAAATTACTAAGTGAGATATGGGTTAATAAGTGTACTTTTGTGGAATATTTTTTATGAAACCCTAAAAAATTCAGGTAGTAGTTTCCATCCTAGTATCTCCCTGAACCATAATACAGTAAATATAATGATGGCTTTTCTTGAGCAAGTCTCAAATTATAAAAATCTTGTAGAAATAGTCTATTTCCCGTAAAGCTGTCTAATACCCAGTTTGTTTGATTGGGGATGGCATTTTGAATCATAAGTGAGTATAAGTTACAGTATTGTAAATATTTGCTTGGTGAAAACATGTTTTAAACACTGATGAATGGGGATTCAATGTTATGCTTTTCTAAAATATTTGCAATGAGTTATGCCTGCATTAGAGGTGTGATCCCTGCTATAAGCCACACACAGTAGGTGCCATGTATATGTTGGCTGAAAGATCACAGTTGGAAAGCCCATCTGTCTATGAAGTTTTGTGAAATAAGGATTTTAAAAACGTAGCTTTGGAAAAAAAAGGCTAGTTAAATATAGAAGCGTGCACGCTACTCTGGAGAATTTAAAATGTTCAAGTGGGCAACACAATCATATTTTTAAAATAAATTACACAATATAGTAATAATAGGGAAGTCGGTGATATATAACTTTTATATGTTGAATATATTCCTAGGTTTTATTTCCTGTTAGCACTCTGCTAACAGGAAACACGGGTACATTCTTTATGATTAGAAAGGATTCTTTTGCTATTAGTCAGTGCTAAATTGATAGTTTTTATAGCTCGACAAGAGACCAAGTCATCATTACCTGGAGGGAAATACGTAAATCATCTGAAGATGGCTGTGCTGTTCTGAAGGAAAGTTGGAGATGACTGCTTGAGAGTCGAAATCTCACTCCTCAAGTGGCAAGGGGTAGCTTTGCTGCAGAATTGACTGTTTCCACCCTGGGGGTGGCTATGGTAGATGGGGGCATCTATGGGGGGGCAGGGCCTGTGAAGGAAATTCAAGAGGCAGAGCTGGTAAATTTTAAAGGGAATTGTAACCTGGTCTTCAGATTGATTCATAAATACTTACATCTTAGGAATCTATACAAGTATGCAGAAGATAAAGAGGCAAAAGCAAAAGAAACAGCAAAGAGTAGAAGCTATGGGGAGGAATATCTCAGAAAAGGCACAGAACTCTATGGCTTGTCCATCTTATCATTTGTTGAGTTGTGAATATCAACTTTGGGAGCAATTTTGGTGATGATTGACATCTTTTATGACATTTCTTTAATGATGATTCATGGAGCCTGAGTATTGCATTAAAATCCCAGAATTCTGGGAAACAATGTTAGTAACAGTGGAAATTCCTCCTCGCATCTTTGACTGACTGCCACAGCTCAGTCCCAGGCAGGATGAGTCTATATGTGGTTGATACGATTCTCTTACAAAAAAGAGACACTTGGCAAGAAATGAGTTACTGGAGAGTGTAAATTTATAATGAATATGAATTCGATGTGTAAGTCATGAAAGGATTTTCCCCCTAAAACCAGGCTATTATTTATATTTAAACGTTTGCTGCTTATAATCCATCAGGCCATAGTTAAAAACAATTTTGTGCAGATTGAAATACTTTCTTGAAAGCTTATTTATATTTTGCAAGCGAATTTGTGATCACCCAGGCATAACCATCATTACTTGGAATGTTCCATATTGATTACATGTCTACCTTTTTGCACCGATATTGTTCTGCAATATAATAATTGTTCTCAAGGTGAGATAGACTCTTAAATTAGTATTTTCCTCTATTACTTTAAATATTTATATCGATCACATGTTTTACTTGTATATGGATGGATGGCTGTAGCCAGCCTCTTAAAAGAAAGGGAGAGGGAATAAAAATAATTAGTTTGATAAAATATGGATAGCTAACACTCATATCATGGTTACTATTTTTCAGACCATGTTTTAACTGCCTCGCATATATTAATTCGTTTAAGCTTCAGAACAACTATATTAAATAGGGGCTGTTACTACCTGCACTTTGCAAAGGAGAAAAGTGAGGAACACAGAGCTTAAATATTGTTTTCCTGAGTGAATGTGGTGAGTAGGTGGCAGAGCCAAGATTTGAAACCAAACATTCTGACCGCTTGGTATCCCTACTCTCCACTTCTACAGCTAGACTATTCTTAGTTGAGCCAGGGTTAGAGTAAGTAACTACGTTACTCCAATGCTATATTTTAATGTGATTATTTATTAACATGGGTGTTCTCCCTTACAGGATTATGAACTTGTAAGTACAAGAACCATGTTTTATTAACTCAGCCATATATAGTGCTTAATAAAACTTTTATTATTCCTGAATTACAGCTTCTTATTGCCCTGAGATATCCTGTCCAGCAGATTTCTATTTTGAAATCATTGGTTTTCAATTCACAAAATAAAAAATGCAATTGTTGCATGTAAGAGGAATATTGAAATCATGCTTTTCTTATTTCTTAACTACTTTAAAATAGAATGAGTGACTCAAACTTTTTTTTTATTAATATACAATAACTTTAGAATCATGTTACTTGGTTGAAATTCTTTTCTTTTTAAAAAATACTCTTTTCCCGCAGGGTGCTGCTTTAATTAGAATGCTGGCTAATTTTATGGGCCATTCAGTATTTCAGAGGGGTTTGCAAGTAAGTAAACTGCTTCCTATTTTCTCTTACCCTTTCCCTGTCTTTATATTCATTTTAAAGATTTTTCACAGCTTGAAAAATTGCTGAACTTGATGGAACACTTTAGGATGAGTAAGGTAAGCAGTACCTTTCCATATGACAAATGAAAGAGGTAAGATACTCACTGTATCAGCTGACCAAACTCGAACTGCTGTACCACTTAGAATCTCTTTAATACACATTTTTAAATTGAAGTAATTTTCAAATCCATCAGATCCTAAGTAATCTACGAAAGACTTTTTGAGTCAGCTTTTTTCTTTCACTTAAAATTTTACACGCAGCGAAACAAATGATGTATTTGAGAAAATCTTGATTCCATTTTTTATACATGTGCATTCTTTGTTGTTGTTTTATTGTTGATATGCGTAGATTGTTATTTGTTTCAGAGCTAGTTAAATGTCTTGAAATTAGAAAATACAATATTTTAAATAAAGGAGAAAAGGAAATATTTGTATCATACTGTGTGTAGAGTATGAAACTTGGAATCTAGGAGTGGGTTCTTAGAAAAGAGATTCTTAACTCTTGAAAGCAAACACAAACAGAAAAATAGAACTTTTATTTCATTGAATCTGTTGAAGTAAATCCTGTTCCTAGCAGCTGTGATTGATGAATTATTTATGATGCATTCTGCTACTTAGAAGTGTCCTTTAAAGTAAATTGATGTTCACCTGAAATACAATTATGCTAAGACAGAGAGAGCAATCAATCTTATCTGTTCTTAGTAAGCTTTTCATTTTGAAATTTAAATAAACTACGTATGGGATAAGGTGATATTTTAGTAATATAATTCTATCTTTACCCAAAATAAACTAAAAGATAAAATACAAAGCAAGAGTTAAATATGTTATGACAAAGCTATATATACTTAACACAACAAAGGAACAAATAGACATTTCTTGAAGAATAATTTTTCTTAGAAAATATCTTTACAGATTTGTTCCAGCAGAGGTTGGAATTTACTTTAATCAGCTCTTTCTATTAAGGACACCTTCAGAATAGCTGAGTTTCGTTGAACCTACAGGCCTGTGCTAAAGCCTCTATTCTGATCACATAGGTGGGAAAATCTTTTTTCTCAAGGAGTGCCCTCTGTGAATATCAACTTTCTGGAGGAATGTCCTTCTTTATCCCTACTCTGTTGTTTTTCCCCATTGAAGCTGGTGCATGACAGTCCCAGCAAACATCTAAGCTTTAATAAGGGCAACACACATCGAATTGGATTTCCTGGTAGCGAGTTGATGTGAAATCATTTTCTGTATACAATTCTTATTGCCTTTCCTCACCCATGTGTATGGATTTGTTTGGCAGGCTGAGTACGTATAGATATATTATTTGGAGAGGATTATTGTCTCGCAACATTTTTCTTCACCCTGTCATGCTTTTTGTGGTATGCAAAATACATCGATTTTTAAGTCACCCGGTTCGACTGCCCCAGTCTGTTCAGTTTCATCTGAAACAGGCTCTTGGCCCTCTGACTCCCATATGCTGAACTTTCATGCGAAGCTTGTGTTACTTGTGCACCTGATGCTTGATTTGGTTAATTTTCAACCGAGGGACTCTATGCTTGTCAACATCGCATTTCATTTGCCTTGTGACATCTCATCGATCAGATAGATCTGTATCCTTCAGTACTCCCCTCGCCGCTTTATTTACACTCATCACTCAAGCAGATTTAGTGTATCATCAGCAGTTTGGATTCGTTTACAGTAGATCCCCGTGTCCAGGTGATAAATTATCATCTCTTGTGCATGAAGATGTATGGGATACATTTTGGAAATGACCTCCTGAACAGACACTTTATGTCACGGTGCTGAGTGGTCACAGAGTTGATAGGAATATATTTCCCATCCACAGGGCCCTAGGGAGTCTTGGTTCATAGTCTTTTTGAAAGAGCTAATCTGGACTGTCAGTGCTTACCTCTGCTGGGAAATCTATTAATTGTTTTTACATTAACCATGGTTATTTCTATGTTGACAAATGGAAGTTTATGTTTGCAGGCAGACCCAGGGCTAGAGTTACAGGTGTAAGCAATTTCAGATATGAGTTTTTAAAATATATTTTTTCTCCCTTTCTTCCTCCCTCCCTCTCTCCCTCTGTCCTTCCTTCCATTTCCTTTATTATTATTATTAATCTTCCTCCTCTCCCTCCCCCTCCTTCATCTTCTCTGTCCTCTGTCCTTGGCCCTCATGTTGCACATGAGGACAATAATACTGTTTGTTCTTTCTTTTTTAAAATTTGTGTTATCTTACAACTTTTGTATTCTTTTGACTCATGCTCTTTTGGGAACAAGGCAGACTTTTTTATTTTTATTTTACCAATATAACCACAGAAAAGTAATGTATAATAAATAATAAATACATAATAATAGAAATAGGTATAAAGTAAATTACAAATGTAATATTTTTATATATTAAATATAATAAAACATAGTATAGAAAAGTAGAAGGTTTCTGGGAAGTTTCTGGGTCAGTTCACATGTTCATATTTAACCTAAAAAGTATCTCAGTATAGATTAAACTTCATTTTCCCACCTTTTCTGATAGTTTATATTGGAAAGTATACTTTAAGTTCCAGCTCACGCATGTATTCCTCAGTACGAAGGGACTCAGAGACTTTTTGATAAAAATGTTTTGCTCCTAATAGCCATGTAATCCATTGGGTTAGCTGTTAGTAAGCCTAGAAAACAGTTTCATGCTGAATAATCACACTTCCCTTAGTCTGGTCTTCTGGATAGACTTTTGCCTAATTCCTCTTACTTCTTGAATTTTGTGTGCTGCTTAAATCACTCAGCCCTGCATCGTTTTTAAGTAAATTTCCTCACAACGTTTCTTTGCAATAGTATATACATACATGAAAGTTTTATCCTGGCTACAATTAATAAGTTAGCTTCTGTTTTGATGTTTAAATTAAAAGTGAAGTATAGAGCCCACCAAGCTTGAACCTTTGTTTGATGCCACTTGTAAATACTATGTTTGTAAAACATTTATATTTTTGAAAACTGTACATATCTACTATCTAAGTAATCCATTTCCCCAAACAATAACAGGCATATTTGGGGAAGCATGAGACAATGGAATGAGTAGGGAGAAGTGACTCTAATTTCTGTGTCTAATTAATGGCATCTTTTCTACAAGTCACTTAAACCTTTCTTGGCCTCTGACTTTAAAATGCAAGAGTTAGACAAAATGCTCTAAGATTTTCCCACCTTCTCTGAATCTAAGATTTATTTGATACATTTTACTAGTTAGATAATTTGGGTTTGATACTTTAACTTTGGAAAGCTGTTTTAATTTGATGGGAAAGTTTGTAACTTAGATATGCAAAAGGGAGTGATTCCTTGTTCTTGAATCTTCAGTTAATCATCTGAACATTAGGGCTATATGGTATTCAATATATATATTCAGTTGACCCCCGAATGAGACAGGTTTGAATTGGGGGGGGGGTGTCATTTTATATGCAGGTTAAAAAAAATACCTGTACTGTTTCCATCCATGGCTGGTAGTCCGCAGATGCGGAGGGTCGACTGTATGCGTTGATCCATAACATATATAGGGGACTTGAGCATCTGTAGAATTTTGGCCTCCACAAGGGCCTGGAACCACTCCCATGGTTACTGAGGTATGACTAAGTTTTGGGGGAGTCAAAATTTATACATAGATTTTGACTGCAAGGGAGTCAGCGCCCTTAACCCTCACATTATTCAAGGATCAGCTATAGCACTATAACTAGTCCAGCCAAACCAGCATTTATTTTTACTGAGAGTTTTTGCTGGTAATATGTTTCTTTTGCCCTTATTAAGAAACAACTTCTATTCCCTTTGCTTTTTAGTTGCCTTTCCTATTTTGTTACACTTTGATATTTTGCTCTGGATACTTTACATGTTTTTTATTAAACTACTGTTATTTTCCATGGCAATTTCTAAGGACTTTCTTTCTGAAGTTTCTTGTTGATTTTCATTATAAATGTTGTCCTTACTAAAGTTAGAATTTCTGGAACTTGTGTTCCTGAAATCTGCTGAAACTGGCTCTGCTTATGGATCTGACTGCGCTGAGGTGGTTGAAGGCTGGTCCAGAGGAGAATCGGACCAATCCCCCTTGATGAGTGTCATTGCAGGGGACTTAAACAAGGGCTAACTGACTTTTTCAGTGGCAAGAAGAGCTGCTTTTGAAGGGAAACTCAGTGGAATCTAGACTTTAAAAGTCCCCGTTCCAATTCTCAGTGTCCCACATTTTCTCAATCAATGCCCCATTTTCACATAAGAGACCGAATGAAGCCGTGGAATTCACTGGAGTTGTGATTTTACCACTCAGAATTCCAAACCTTACTTTGCTTTTCAGTTTTATTGATTCTAAGTTTAAAGGAGATACAAGACTCTTTTAGTATAGTCAGAGACAATCTCTGATTCCCTGCCAATACCTTCAGCTCAGAATTTAAATGACTGAGATTATAGTATTTTTGTAATCTCTCCAGTCTTGTCAGAAATGACTATTTTTGTTGCAGATTTTGTAATTCTCTATTCTCCTGTAATGTTCTATTGAAAAAGTCATTTGTTTTTTCAAAGCTTATTCTTCAATTTAGGCAACTATAAATGATAATTTAAGAATCTGTCCTGGCCTTGAAAACCATAGATTGCCAGAATTTTATTACCCATTGTCAATGCTATTATCTCATTTAAATTTGATGAAGGCAGGCAAACAATTGTAGATTTCCATCTTTGAGGGTATGTTTCCTGGAATATACCACTCCTGGTAAGTGTCACAGTAGAAGAATCAAAACCACGCTAGGTACATCAGGCAGAAAGGTATTTAACACAGAGTATATGACGTTTCTAAATCTGTTGGGAGGACTAGAGGAGTAAAGGTCAGGAAAGCCACTGCTAAACCTTAGAAAATCAAGAAATTTAAGGATCACAGGGAACTGATGTCCATATCCCAGCTGCCTGCAGTGCACCTGGAAACCTGGTA